GGTTCCTTGTTTGGAGTGCCTACTGCACTCTTATGGGGGCCGCTCGGTTCGGGATGTCTGTGTTGCCTGTAGGTGATGACGGATGGTCGTCGGAGTGTCCCCCTGGCTCAGCGGGTGGTGGGAACCAACAGTCTGCGGGGTTCTATCGTGATGTGAGTAGGTCATGTGCTGTTTTGCTCCGTGTTGGATGTGTAGACTGTCTTGTCTGCGCTCTGCCGCGGTCTTGCTGCCCGTTCCGCTGGTCGGTTCGTTTTTCGTTTTATGACTATTGAAAGCTGGGCTTTATAAGCATTCTTTTCTATGGGCATCCCTGGCTGCGGGCTCTTTCACGGTGTTGTTTATAAGCGCACTCTTCAGCACAACATGCTGTGACGCGGTCGCAGAAGCCACGCAATGCATATAACACACACACACACACACACACACACACACACACACACACACACACACAAGAACAATGAAAGGGGTACCCCAAGAACAACCAAAAAACTGTCTAATTGTAAAATTGCTTTAATATGTTGGACATCTCAAATGCTCTCGTTGTCTGCAATAGGATAAAGACTGCTTTGATTCTGAGTCTGTTCACCTGGGTGGAATTGGGGCTGTTGTGGGGAAAATCTAAAACACACACACACACACACACACACACACACACACACACACACACACACACACACACACACACACACACACACACACACGTTGTTGTCTGCCTGGCTTGTCCTTGTTGTGTGTCCTTTGTGTTATTTTTTTCGAAGTATTTTTGTGTGCCCAACTGGGCACCCTCAAGCAGTGCCAAACAGTCGGTCATTCCTTGTCTGGAGTGCCTACATCATTCTTAGGGGGCCCGCTCGGTTCGGGATGTCTGTGTTGCCTGCAGGTGATGACGGATGATCGTCGGAGTGTCTGCCTGCCCATCTGCCTCCCGCATGCCGTCCACCCTATGCCTTTTGCTTTACAGTCTTTCGTGCCTTGCTGCTTTGTGTGTCTTTTGTCTGCCCGCCCCCCCGCCTCCCCCATGACCTCCGACCTTTGTCCCTTGCTGCCCACTGCTCATTTGTTAACGTGTTGTTTCTCCGCCCTGTGCTCTACTATCTTCCGGTGCTTGTTTGTTTGGCCTTTGCATGGCTTTTTTGTGTGTTCCTTTCACGGACATAGAGGGTTGCGGATGTTTTATGTGTTGTTTATAACCATACCCTTCAACACAAAATGTCGCGGCAATGTCGCGGAGGTTTGACATGCATATAAGTAAACACACACACACACACACACACAGCTAGAAAATAAAAGAAATGTGCCGGTGGCGGTTCGACAAAGCTTGCCGCGCAGTGGAAGGCCGCCGCGCCCGGGTGTACTGGTCGTTTAGGAGGGTAAGCGACCAATTTAATGGAACTGCTGGGCTCTTGCAAGTAATTTCTTTTCTTTTCTTTTTTTTTTTTTCTTTTTTTTTCTTTCTTTTTTTTTTTCTTTTTTTGTTTTCCATCCGGTCTTCCCTCAACCTTGTGGCAATACCTCACTTTATTTTTTTGTTTGTTTTCAATTCGGCTGCGCTCTTCCAAACAAAATTCCGATTTTGTCCCTCATATTTTTTATCCTCGTTCGATGTGGCTGTTCCGAGGAGACAGATGGCTTGGAAACACCCAACTATATGGATGTGTGCTATTCTGATAAGTACTTATGGATGTGTGCTATTCTGATTAGTACTTGTGTGCTATTCTGATTAGTACTTATGGATGTGTGCTATTCCGATTAGTACTTACCGAACAGCGACTGTCGCAGTCTTTCCGGATAATATCTCCTTAGAGGTCTCAGTACATCCCGCCAGATGTCGGTTGTAGAAAAATGGATGGGGAAATGTACTGGGGAGCCTCACAAGGGGTTAATGGGGACCCCCACTTTCAGCTCCTGAGTAACGGGCCACAAGCGGTTAACGGGGACCCCCACTTTCATCTCCTGAGTAACGGGTCAAAAACTGAAATCAAGGGGTTTGGGGGTCAGCCGCCACATTTTGTGACAAATGCACCTCGCTGTATCCGGACCAAAAGTTGTGACAAATACAGCCCCACTGTAATGACCGGGTTTTCAATTCAGGTGACGACGGTAGGGGAATGTGGCTTCCTCATCCTTTACAGAACTCCTCGTATGCCATTTGCAAATTTACCCTTCTCTGTGAAAGCAAAGGTGATGGAACGGAATAAGATGATATGTCCGTTGTCCTTCGGGACATATCAGGTAGAATTGGAACGATACAGAGAAGGGTAAATTAGCAAATGGCCCCCTGCGCAAGGATGACAAGCATAAGTCGAGAAATGGTCCAAACCGAAAAAATAAAAATGAAAATGCAAAGATGATGTGTGGATTGGTCGGTCTGCATTTTGTCGGGGGGGAATGCGGCTTTCTTATTCTGTTTGGAACACGAAAGCCATCTGTGAAAGCTGTGAGGTTATTGCTGCAAGAAGCAGTACTTGTATTTCCAGATCCATGCCGC